AATTCTTGTCCGTTTTTATGATTTTTTATAGCTTTTGAAATTAGCACTTATAAGAGCTGTTTTATCCCCAACATCTTTATTCCAGCTTTATGGTTAATTTTAAAAATAAAATTTTGTTTTCCAAAATCTGATGCAAAATGAACTAGAGGTACTGTGAGCAATGAGCTCACTAAATGATACCCCCGCCTCCCAAATGAATATAATGACAGTGCCCATGTTTTCTAGGGGAAACCCAAAATCCGGGTATGTGTCGGATAAAAAGTGAAATAGGAGGTCAAATGGCAATATGTAATAAAGATTCAGGGAAAGTTTATTTTAAAGTGGTATGAGAGGAGTTGTGGATAAGAGATGGATACCCCAAAGCGTAACAAACACATGGACATAACACTTTCCCCCCCGCTTGAGAAGCGGGGTGTAAAAAAAAAACTCTATATTTAAGACATGTAGATTTCAATTTTGTGACCTAAGATTTGTTTTTTTTTGGGTAGAAAGGTCAGATTCCTTGTGATTCTTTTCACGTACAAGCTTTTGTACCAATAGCCTAACCTTTTTTGATTTCAATCTATTCAACACTTCTCTTGACAACAAAATTTTCTTGAACACTCAAGAACTTTACAAGGCAACTTGATCCACGCTTCTTTGTTAGGATAGTGTAAAGTTGTATCAAGAATCAAGGGGAGAAAAAACAGTTTTTTTTTTAGATTTTGTAAATTTCAAAATTTAAATACATTTTTCAATTCAAGATTATCCGTTCACAACAAGAAATATTTGTGAATGCATTTGAATCTTTGACTGAGAGTAACAAAATGCAAATGGGGACCAGAATCATAGCTGGACAATCAAGAAAATTTATGGTTTACGTATATTATACTGATAATTTTAATAAATTATAAATTTTAGATGTATAGCGTAACATTTACTAGCCCTCTAATTGGTCGTGGCTATCATTTTAAAAATCATACTAAGTTATGTTGCACTAGACCTTCCACATGAACATAAACATTTGTTTTTTTCTAAAAATAGATCAAGAGTTTCTAACAACTGATATTTTTTTGCAACCCTGGACTACAATGTGTACTCGCCTTTATACTGGGGGAATACTGCATTTGGGGGTAGCTTAATTTTCATATTCCCCTCTAAACATCAATTATGAAAATTATTAACTTTTTATATGAAGAAGCATGGTGAGGGAAAGGGTTTGTTTTCGGAATTGTCGTAAAAATTTTTATCTTAATAATGAAGTAATTAAAAAAAAATCCTGTAAAAAAATCATTAACAAAAGTTTCCTCCAACTTTCATAGCATATTTGATCATTTTTCATTAATAAAAAAATCAAACTGTAAATTTTTCTTTAAAAAGACTAGAATTAAGCAGTTTGAGTATTTTACTTTAGTACGTATATGTCATTTTGAATCGCCATTTTGAGCTAATTAAAACATTTCAAATTAAAACGACTAAATTTTCCAATTAAAGTGATAATTTAGTTTTATTGTCATTTTACATAGATGTACTATGCTCAGTGAGATATTCACAAATCCTTTCTCCTATTTTAAAAGCGACATTAAGAAATAATTTGAAAAAAATATGAATATCCGCTCTTTTGAATCGCCATTTTGAAATTAAATTACAGCTGCACCATCATTTAAATGATTGATTGATTGATTGATTGTATATTGTTTAACTCCCCCTCGAGAATTTTTCTCATATGGGACTCACCGTATGCCGGTGAAGGGCTTCAAATTTTGACCTGTACTCGGCACTCAGGGGCCCTTGAGCACTGAGGGATCTTTATCGTGCAAACCCCCCCTGCCGGGGCCCCTTAAATTATCCAAAACCAACTTTTACTTTAAAATGCCAAGCGCATCAAGGAAAGTTGCTACCCATTTTAACGACTAGGTCAGTCGCGGACAAGATGCGAACTCACGACCTCCCCATCACGGAGCGAGCGCTCTACCGACTGAGCTACCGTGAACGGTCATTCAAAGTAGAAAAGTGAGATATAGAGGAATAAAATACAAATCTGCAGTGTATGGATGTTTGCAAAATAAAATCCCAAAAAAAGCAGAATAAAAGGGTAATAAAAAAAAAAAAGAAAATTGAATTAAGTGTAGAAATGACTATTTTTTAGTTAAACTAATAAAATTAGCATTTTTTATTATTTTTATCTTTTTTAACTATTTTACTTTTTTATTTTGAACGAGAAGAGAAAATTAGAAAAATTGGATGTCCGCCCTTTTTTAAACGCCATTTTGACCTCTTTGACGCCATTTTCATGAAGGCCGCTATTTTTACAGATTGCTCTCGAAGTAGGTTAAAAACTTTCTGAAAAAATAATTATTTAATTGCCGTTAAAAGTTATTTCTAGCCTTCTTTTTAAAAATCAGGACCAACTAATCTCTATATTCAAGGTATGGCCAAAATTAAGTTGAAAATGCTGAGATTCCAGAAAAATTCGGAACCAATTTTCTGGAAATATGCACAACTACACATTGTGTCCTTAATATATGCTACGTTTAACGAAATTCTGTGAGTGGTTTAAAGAAGTTCCCGCCCGATCTCTATATTCAAGGTATGGACAAAATCTAGGTTAAAAAATGCAGAAATTTTTGGGAAAAAAATTTAAAAATAATTTTCTGGTTATATGCACATCTACACATTGTGTCCTAAATTACTGAAAAGTTTGAAGATATTTTTGCTGCGGTTTGTGAGTAGTTGCGCTGGCAAACTTTCCTTTTTATTCAAGGCATGGCCAAAAATCTAAGTGTAAACGTGCGGACATTCCCGGAAAAAAAGGGAAACGGGAATTTTCCCGGATTATGCACATCTGCAGATTTGTCCTAAAAACCCCCAAAATTTGATCAAATTTTGTGCAACGGTTTATCATGAGTTTGGGCTGAACCAAAAAAAAAACCCGGGGAAAATTTTTTAAAAGGGAAACCGGGGGGTTTTTAATGAGTGAAGTACTATGTACAACCACCTTGAGGCGATGTGTATCTATGGAATTTTGATTGATCTTAAAATATTTTAAAAACGAAAAAGGTTCTATCGTCGATACAAAATTTGGGGGATGGAAAATCACTCGTCCACTTAAAAATTTTCCTGCCATCCAGAACATGTCTCGTTCTTTAGATAATATTTATCAAAACACTTTATTTCAAATGTTAAAGTCAAATAAAATGTTAAATTAAAAATATACAAGCTAAAAAAACCCCAATTTTTCCATGTGATTTTAAAAGGGATTAAATATTTAGAAAATGATAGATAATGAAAAATTACACTCTTTACAAGATTTACTGAACAAGTCTTTGTAATGATAAAACAATAAAGCAAGTTCTGCAGTTACGAGTGCTGCAATTTCACAAATATTGATGAAGGACGTGCAGAAACAATATAAACACCATGTGCGAGAAATCATAGAAGAGGTTCGTTAATTTGTGTATGTTATGAAAACCATACTGAGTAGACCTTTTTTAAAAAAAAAGTTTTGAGGTATTGAAAAACCCTAAACAGTTAGTATAACCTATCAGGGGTTTTTATTTTAGAGTTTAATGATAAGTTTCTGGCTGTGTCACATAAACTTAGGTACTGTGATCAATGAGGGCGCTAAATGATACACCCTCTCTCCCATTTGATTATAATGGCAACGTCCATTTTTTGCTCCTGGAGCCCGAAACAAGTGTCAGATCAAAAAGTAAAACAAAGGTACTGTGAGCAATGAGCTCACTAACTGATCCCCCCCGCCTCCCATATGGTTATAAAGGCAAAGTCCATGTTTTGCTGTGGCCGGAAAACCCAAAATATGTGTCGGATCAAAAAGTTAAATGGAGGTACAATGGCAATATGTAAAAATGACTTGAGAAAGTTTCTTTAAAATGTACTAGTGGTATAGGAGGAGTTGCGGATAAGAGATTGGTAACCCAAGCGTAACAGACAGACGGACGGACGGAGGACGGACATACTGGTTACAAACCCCTCCCACTTTTCAAGGGGGAAAATTCAAATAGGTAATTGCGGTGTTTCACGTCTTTTTAAAAACCATATATTATATATGTGTAGCGGTGATAGATCAGTAGAATGCGTTACAATCCTTTATATGCACTAAAGGAAATAATTTTTTGTTCGATCCTGTTTGGATGGCTTGTTCATTAAATATAACTGTATAACTCCGAGTTCAAACCACATTTTTTTTCCCCCCTGCTTGAAAAGCGGGAGGCTATATAGTAATCGGGATGTCCGTGTCTTTACCCTTTTGGGACCCATTTTAATGCAACTGTTCATACCACTGAATGAAATTTGATGAGACTTTCACAGAATCTTTATTACATTTTGAAATTGTGCACCTTCTATTTTAATTTTTGATCCACGCAAAATTTTGGGGGTTTTCCATGCAAAACTGGATAGGACACTGCCATTTTATTCATATGGGAGGCGGGGTTTTTTAGTGAGCTAAAGCCCAAAATACCCCTAGTTCAATATGGCGATAAAGTAAAACTACACATGCAAAGTCAGACGTACATAAAATGGTTGCACAATTTGATTATAGTTGTTTGTTGAAACATTTACTTACGCCTCCATGGGGGTTAAATTTTTTTTTCTACATACAATAAACTCTTTCGTCAGTTCCTTTTTGTATGATTTATTTTTAAAAAAATTTATGGGTTTTTTACCCAGAGCGAAAGCAATTCTTCCAACTGCTGATACTTCAAAATACACATGTACTTGTAATTGCATTTAACTATGGCCTATATTTAAATGTTTATTATACTTTAACCATTACTTCATTACACATGCAGTAATAGTTAAGTAAGCGGGCTTAAATATTAAAGTTGACAAAGTATTTCTAACTAAATGAAACATTTTCCAATGTCGCTTTTTAAGTATATTTTTTAGTTGTCAACCGACCACATCGATGACATTTAATGTTTCGTACGCACTATTCCTGCAGATTACACTGTATTTCTGAATCAATACTCAAACCAAGCATTTTGTACTGCAGGTGTGTGCCCATATTACGATTCGGTTGGAAAATCTATACAAATGAGTGCCAAATCATGCCAATCAGCGAAGATTCCATGCCCGGCAAGATATCCATCAAATACAACGTATATTTGTAAGTATACTTATTACATGAACGTATTTTAGATTTTGAGCACTACTGATCAAGGACCGTTTGATAATAAACATTTTTACTAAATGCCATTTCTATGGGCAGTGGAAAGGGCAAAAATTACCATAATGAGAAAACAAACAATTAATTTAATTTCAATGACCATAAAAACGAAATAAATGATATACAATGCATAATTAACAAACCTTTTCGCAAAGCAACTATACATTAAAGCAAAACACACGACAACTTACGTACCTATATAAAAAATCATTTGAGGTCAACGTCCTGCCTCAAAAGGCTGACAATAGCTAGTATTCAATTCCCAGCTAAGCTTGGCCTTCCCAGCTAACCTTGGACTTTCAATATGGCGTGACATTCTAGTCGTAACGTAATTAGCGTCTGAAATATACCCAGCTTTCAGCCACTTTTGATATTTACAAGGGATAAATATTCGGGAAAATGTCAGCGAGTGTATCAAATAACCAATAAGATTCTTCGTCTCTCCCGGTAAAGAAGTGGAGTTTAAGTCGCATCAGCGTTGTCAACAACAATCTTAAGTTCCTGATGTTATTAATTTCTTAACCAATGAGAACTATTGTCCTTTGACAGACACTAATTATGTTGCGCCGAGAATGCCACTCCTTAATGAACTCCAACCTAAACTGGAAATAATCCTAATTGCTCTTTAAGCAGTAAGTCCATCTAAAAGCAGCTGCCAAAAGGTCCTCTGACTGACTCAGGTGACCTGATAAATAAGTTTTAATTTACCATGATGCGCAAAGTATTTAACAATAAACACCTCAGTTCCCTTTTCAGAATCAGAATCAGAAAATTTTATTTTGAGTCGGATGAATACAACAGAAACATAAGCTCTGTAGAGCTTTTAACCGACATTATATTAGTACTACATATCATAAATGACTATGTACACATATAAAATAGTTTGAATTACATTGACATGCATCACAACAAGCATATTTACACATACACACACAAAACGACACAGAAAGCACATATATCATGCATATAAATAAGACAAACACAGAACATAAATATAAATGAATGTCCAAGTAGCACTTATGCTCTAAAAGAATAGTCTATGATTTATATATTTTGATAAAAATATTTTATATATTTTGATAAAAATATAGCAAATTTGTTAAGTTAAAAGTATATTTTTAATTCTATAAATTTATGATTACTAAATTTACTCACTTTTAAAGCAAACAAAACAAAATAAACTTAAAACAAAAGAACAATACCAAAATAAATAAATAAATAAATAAAAAGGAACTAAAAATAAATTGAGCGAACACTGAAGATTAAGATTTGAGGATTAAGATCTACAGGAGCCACACTTACAGGAATCTCCATTCCAATTGTTAATTAAACTTTTAAACTGAGTAGTTGTAGTTGCATTTCTGATTGTTTCAGGGAGTTCATTCCATAGTTTGGCTCCTGCATATTAAAAGAGTGTAATCCATGCTTTGTAGTTCTAACCCTAGGTACCTGTACTGTATTAGTTTTCCTAAAATTATATGAGGTTTCTTTAAAAGTAAATAAATCAGATAAATATGCAGGACTCTCATTCTTTAAAATTTTAAAAACTTCTATAGCCATTGTTCTTAATATTCTAATTTTTAAAGTTGAAACCCCGACTTCAGTAATAATTCCTCATAAGTACTGTTCATGTCATCATAAATAAATCTGAGAGCTCTTTCTTGGATTTTTTCAATTTTTCTTGTATTAATTTCTCCGCAAAAGTGCCAAACAACAGGACAGTAATTAAAATTACTCATAATAAAAGAGTAATAGATGGTCAGTTTGCCCACTTTAGTCAGGTGTTTACATGTACCTATGCGTTTTAATATATTAAGTTGTCTAGCTGCTTTTTTGCATATGTTTGAAATATGGTTATTAAATTTTAATTGACTATCAATAGTAACACCAAGAAGTTAACCTCTTCTTCACATTATACATTAATACCCTCCAACTTTTGATTTCAAAACTCCATAAAGGAAAATTGTGTTACAAGAAATACAAGAGGCCCATGGGCCACATAGCTCACCTGAGCACCGTGGCTAGGAAAAAGTAGAAATTGGATTATTATTGAAAAGTTTATATCCAAAAGTAGTCCCATGACCAATCATGGCTTTGCTATTCTTAAAAAGACGATTTTTAAAGAATTTTCCTATATATTTCTATGTAAACTTTGGTAATGTGCCCCCCCCCTCCACCCCGGGGGTCATGATTTGAACAAACTTGAATCTACACTACCTGAGAATGCTTCCATATAAATATATAATTAAGAATTTTCCTATATATTTCTATGTAAAACTTTGGTCGGGCCATTTTGGTCCCGCCCTACCCCTGGGGGTCATGATTTGAACAAATTTGAATCTACACTACCTGAGGATGATTCAACATGAGTTTCATCTTTCCTGGCCCATTCATTCTGGAGAAGAAGATTAAAAAATTTTCATCCACGAACCATCAATATCTGCTTTAAATTTTAGACAAAATTTAAGTTTGAAGTCACAAAGCCTATCATATGTTATTTTGTAGAGCACAATGTCATGGTACGCTACATATAATTTTTTGGCACACGGGCCAACGTTTTTTAAGTACATACGCAGGAACAAATATACCGTATATACTCGCCTATAAGTCGGTCCGCCTATAAGTCGGTTGTAATTTTTGACGTTATTTTGGCGGGATTTGCTATTGACCCGCTTATAAGTCGGTACAACTTTTTTGCCAAAATCTGGTGACAATTTCAAGTAAATCCATTGATATCTTAACCCTGGTTTCAATTGATATTTTTCGAAATGACACTGATATTTAATCTTAAATTATGAAACATAAAGACAATGTCACTTAAAATGCAAATAAAATTATTAAAATATGTATATACTTGCACTTTTTTATATAATCTAAGAATGCATAAATTATCTTATATATCCAGACACTTTGATAATCCTCGGAAATGCAAATAAGATACTAACTTTTAGCCCACAGAAAAATACCTGTCTCTTCAAGACTCGCCTATAAGTCGGATATAGAGTTTTAGACCAATATTTAACTCCCAAAATACCGACTTATAGGCGAGTATATACGGTACCTATGAAGTTAAAAACCGCGTAAAAACGCCGATTTTACGGCATTATTTCCAAACTTTGCATGCATAAAAATATTACATATTTGCACCTTTATGCAAAATGTCTTAGAGGTACTCGCGTGTGGCCAATATGAATTTTACATTTTTGAAGAAGTTTGTCAAAATAATTTGATAATTAGAAAAAAGTTACTTGAGAATGTGATTTGTTTAGAGTTTCCAATTTGTTGCCAGCACTAGATGTTGAACGTAATACCTTGTTTCAAATCTTTTTATGAATAAAGATAAAAAAAAATGCCTAATCCGAAGCTCATATCTGAATACATAAAACGTAAATAGCTAGGTTTGTTTACACACTAATCTTTAAATTGAAGAAATATATGGCATTTAATAAAATTATGCATTCAAGATTGTGTTCTCAATCTTATTTACAGTAAATGTTAGTAAACATTATTTTTATAACACTAAGATCTTAACGCTCTCTCTTTATCTCTCTTTATCTCTCTCTTTAGCTTTTCCCTTCTTTATTAGCCTATAACGATGTCTTAGAACCTTTTCTTTGGACATTCTATTTTACAAGATCAGCTTACATATTTGAGGATGTCCTTTTATGAAGTGTAAGAACTATTTCATGAAGACTAAAAGTGTATACATTTTTGAAAAGATCTTATTTATAAAGGCATATTTATTTTAAGTTTGTGCAGAACGGTAAGTGGGAGAATATACCTTTAACAAATAAAACGACGCAGATTTTTTTTTTATCAAAAAAGGAATATCTTTTGGTGATCTAATAATAATCTGTAGAAAAACATATACATGTAAGTACTTTTCGTGAAGTACTACTACAGAAACTGGTCATCTGTAACATCTGAATGCATTTTAAGGTAAATATCGAGGTTATACGATTAAAATAAAAAGGTGTCACGTGTGTCCGAAAATCTGTAACATCTGAATGCATTTTGAGGTAAATACCGAGGTTATCCGATTTAAAATAAAAAAAGGTGTCCGACTCACGATTTGCACCTTGAATTAATAAAAATAAACATGGATTTTGGAACCTAATTTACTATAAGAAGTAAGTGGTATGCCTACCGGCTTCTCAATCACATTTAGGGTGATGAGACATAGCATGTATCGGACAGATGTAACGGAAACTGGATAAAGTTCTGATATCTTTAAATAGAATTACTGCGGAAGAGATGTGAAAGTGTTACTTATGGATAACAATTATCAAAAGTAAAAAATTTGATAAATGTAAGCTCTAATTTTCATTTTCATTCCATTTTATATACATATCAGCCATTTCAATTCTACGGTGAACGCAAATTGGGACATATATTTCTGTTACCTAGGATGTCCCTCCACTATATGACTGGTAGGTTAGTAGGTTTCGCTTCAAATATTTAAAAGATGTGTCAAGGTAGTGATTTTGACGGATAAAGGAACAGAAAAAGAAAAAGAAAAACGGCGATCAAGAAAAAAAAATCAAATCAAAAAGTAGAGGAAGTAATCAAAATGTAATTCGCCCCATTTCCGGGTAGTACTATTCCAACCAAGCTGAATGTGCATGGCGATTTTAAATATTATTTTATGAAACACACAAGAGTGTAATATTCGAGACAAACAACAATCCTTTGCTGATTAAAATACTTGATTTTTCAACAGTTTATTAAAAAAAATAAACATAGGCGCAGTTTTATATTATGCAGTACGCAATAATTATGTTTAAAGATTAAAACGCATGTCTTTAACACGTCAGCCCCCCCCCCCCCCCTCTGGAAAAATAGAATTAATTAAAAATGAATACATGTAAATACATTGTATAATCCTGCTTCAAGGACAAGATACACACCTGAAAGAAATAATCTAAATTTAAATTCGTATGAATATATGTATATAAGCGAGGGAGTTAAAATTATTTTTTTATAGCCTAACATCAATAACTACTGTTCACAAAAGGTTATGTTAATTTTTATGTAAAACCACAGATTTAAAGTGTAATAAATGATAAACTGTGAATGTTAAAATTATTAAATTTTAATCAAAATTGATCATATTTAGTCTTGAAGGGGGGGGGGGGGTCATGTTGAAAACTAAGAACTTATGTGTTCTCTTTGACTTATATGTTAAGAATTAAACTTTGATCTCGTCATAAAATCTGAATCAAATAAAACAAATATATATCAATAATATCTAACGGACTATAATATAATTTTCGCCCGCGTGCCCGAGTGGTTAGAGTCGCGAAGTAAGTTCGAATCCCACTGTGAGCGTATAAACCGAGGTCCCGTGTCGCAGTTGGTGCTGGCACGCAAAAGATCCCTCCCTGCTCAATGGCCCTGACAAAATTTGCAGCTCATCACCGGCAAGTGGTGGCGTCTCCATATCAGTGAAAAATTCTCGAGGGGGACGTTAAACAATATAGGAGGGTTGGCCGTAAAGTTCGTGAACAAGTGCGAATTTGGATAAAAATGGCGTCATTGATGTTTATTATTAACCTTTTTATGTTCCTTTACTTAATGTGAAATACAAAATGTAAAATTATATTCAATTTCAAATATAATTACAATAATGGCTTCATTATTAGATTTGGGATGGTGACCCGGAGCACCGCAAAATTTTAATTAAAAAGATTTTTATCACTATAAATTTCATTTGTATTTTGTAAAATTCCGCGGAATTTCGAATTACTTTTACATTTTGTGGTTGACAAAAGGTATGACTTCAAACCTGCAAAATTTGAACGTTCAGAGTTTAGAAATGCCTGATGAAATCGAGGTTAGAATCGATTAAGACAGGATCGGCATTGTTCGAAAAAGGGAGTTTTCGGAAAAGGTGGAGCAGTAATCAGTGATAAAATTCTGCGTAGATATCGGAAAAACACCAACATAGACCCATCAATACTTTAAACAGTCGGGAAAATATAGTAAAGGAAGCTGTTCTTTAGTATTTAAGTGGAATTTAAAATTTTCGAACGGAAGGAATAGTTTATAGGATGACATTCGTGAAGGAAGACCATTATTCCGAGATCGCAGTGCTGTTAAAATTGAACTCCATAACGCGAATTTGCCGTATTTCCTTACATAGAGTCGTTTTCTACGCGGACAAAGGTTTGATGATTTGCAGGATCAGGTACAGGAAGTGTAAAATATTTTAAATATAAAATCTAAATAGTTTGAGCACATCTTTGATGACTGCTTAAGAAAAAGTTACATGTATTTAGCTTTTGACATCGGGAAACGTCAAGTATTTTCGTTTTAGTGCTCATGAGTGTACAATGTATGTCTCTTTGTATCTAATAAAAATATATCCATTTGTGCTTTAATTTTGTTTAAAATTGGCATATGTATAAAATGAAACAAAAGTTTAATGAAAATAATAGTTTGATGTATTTTATTAATGTTTGTCAATAATTACCAATGTTGTTCACGAACTTTACAGACAACACTATGTCAATATAATTCAAACTTAACGAATTGTGCGACATATATTTCATTATCAAAATGCACGAATAAATCGAGGTTCGTCACATACACAAAAATACTCACTCTGATAATTCTATTTCTATAATAGGTCCATTCTTGCTAAGAAAAGATTTAACAATGCTGCGCCGTGCTTCACTTTGTATTAAAAAAAATGAATTTGTAGTTATATTTCTTTAGATTTAACAATTATATTTATCCAGTCACAAAATTTAGGAACTTTTAAAATTCATAATAATGCCATATAATGCAGTGACATGTATATGTCTTATTAAAGTATTAAATACTTTTAAAAATATATGTACATTGTAAGGCTTTGGTGTACAAAGGTAAGCAGTTACTGTAGAATGTTCTATTGCAAAGGATGTAATGACGTTACGTTCCTTATGTAAATTTCATTCAAAACAATGCCATACTGTCAAATCTATTCTTGAAAACGTATTATAGATATCTAAAAAAGGAAAACAGTTATTAAAAGCTACAAGTCTGCACTATCTTTATTGAAATTCTCATTAATTTTTAAGTTAAGGCGCATTTCGATGGTTCGTTACTCTGAGGAACTTTAATCCATTTTCTTTTTCTTTTGCTGACGGTAGACACAAGCTGTTATCCTTCAATTTTCGTCACAGGAGGAGCAGAGAAGTATGTTTGAATTCAGCATTCTAAATCATTTTGTTAAATTATTGCTTTTTTAAGTGTATACGTAAAGAATATTGTTAAAAAGTATTTCTTAGATAAGACTAAACTTCAAAAACATATTTCAGTTTGTTAACATTTTAAGATTTTATCTAAAACTATATTTTTATAGTATGTTATCCGTCTGTTCTTTTAAAATGAGGTTCCACCAGGTTTTTTTTTCATAGATCTTATTTTTGTTTTTATATAAAAAAAAAACTTGTACATTTCATGTCATTTTTGTTTGTATGATTTTGATTTGAAATTACATAAATAATAAATTCCTGAATATAAAGAAATCGTAGGATTTCCTCGCTGCTTAGATTTGAAACTTTGTTTTGCTTTCTATATAATTCCATACAAAATTTTACTCACAATATCGTCAGGAACTACTATTTTCTGAGCAAGAAGATCGACATTTAAACAAATTTTATTCAATTTTTTATGGTGATGAAATTAATTCAAATTTAATTTTATGACCCAACACCAACATACACAAACGCACTCTAAATACATTAAAGTTGATTCAATAAAATGTTTTTTTTTTTTTTTAGAGGGTATATTTCAAAAATTAAGGAAATGCAACTAAACTTCGTGCAAACATATTTTAAACAAAAAATCCCTGTGGAATTTAAGATTTCTTATACTGAGTACTTAAGATAGTTTTGTGAAACAGCACCGAGAAATCTTACGATTATCATAAGTCAGATCTTAAAATTGATCGTAAGATCTTTCTTAGGACAAATCTTACGATAGTTTTGTGAAACCCAGCCCTGGGTTCTTCTTCAGTCATGATGAGCATATTTTTTCCAAACTCCAAAACAAATTGCACTTTTTGCAGAAGTTGTTTTTCAAATATCTGAACTGTTTTGAAAACAATGCATGCATTGGACAATCGGTGTCCAACACGTGTCTCATTCAGAGCCATTGCATTCACCCAAAAGATTTTGAACTCTATACAACTGTTGGCAGATTTGTGACAAAATAGTTACTTCTTGAATTAAATAACAAAAATACCTGCTGTGGTTAACGTAATAATGCATTTGTCATAATTGAACACAAGGTGATATACAATTACTTAACAATTGTAATACAAATTTTTCTTAAAAGTGCACAAAAGCGACGATGCTTGAACTATATTTTACAGGGTCGCCCATACTATAATTATCTTGCGGAATTTCGTTTATTTTAACTAAAATGCCGACTTGTGATAATTTGCATTGAAATAGTAGTAGCTTAAGCGTGTAATTTTAAACAATGTACAAGGGCTGTTCAATAAATAATGTCCTGAGATCTATGACATACAGTATAGAAATCATATGACATTAAGTTTGAATTTCTATTATTATTGAATCTTAAATGAATTGATTACAGTTTATGTGACAACTTTTCATCACACAGTTTCATTGCCAGAAGCTGAAAATCAAGGGCTATTCGAGACCCTGTATTAAAAATGAATTCTATAGAATCAGTAAACTGGAGTGAAATTAAACGCTTCATTAAAGCTACTGTAAAACTTGGAAAAGAATCCCAAAGAACTATTCACAGAAATATGTTAAATTTACAGTATTCAATGTCTTTTTATAGACACATGAGCATGTGGATTTCAATGAACAAAAATGATATATGGTGGGCATCAAAAATGGGTACTGTCTTTGGTGACAATGACTTTTTACGAGCAACGTACTGTTTGCCAAAATTCAACAAATTATCACTGATGATGTTTTATTGACTTTAAGACACATAGCAAAGATAGGCACCATTTTGTGGGTAGTTCACATCGTTTTAAAGAAACATTTAACAGTAAAAAAGCTGCTAAGTACTCAATGGTCCACCCATATTTTGAAAAATTAGTCAAAACTACATCATGAAAGAGTGTCTTAACAAGTACTTTAAAAAACAAAAATTATAGTTACCCACGTTTGTCTGAAATTCAAACAGATAATGAAACTTGAATCCATTGCTTTAAACCCTCAAAAGAAATTACAATAATATGAACTTGACAAAAACAGCCAAGGTCTGAGAAGAGCAAAGCATTTTAAAAGCACAAAAGCCCTTTATTAATCGAGTAAGTGCTGGCATGAAAAAGAACCCTCAGTACTTAAAGGCCGTTTTTGTCAAGTACAAATCTAAATTTGCAGCCCACAACCGGCAAATGGTGATGTGTCAAAAAAGGTTAAAAAAAAAAAAACTCTCTACGGGACGTTAAACAAACAATCATTAAACTAATTAATATGACTAATAGGTGCAATGTACATGTATTGTTGAACGTTAACGCAATAATGCTGATATTTTTTTTCTAACAAAACATTTTATGAATAAGTTTTAAAGGAGAATCTGAAATGACTTCTCCTTTTTATTCTTATACAGTCAAAACAAATATAAAGTTCTTTATTTTCATTTTCAGAAGGACAGTGAGTGGAATGCATTTCTGGAAAACAATCCTTCTGATGATACCAATCTATTTATTATATATTACTGGTTATCATGATATATGAATATGAGGGTTGTCCCAATAAGTCGTGGTCAATATAACTTTTTGACATGCAACCAATACTAATAAAATTTTGCATAGACATCATTTATTCAATGTTCTTTTAAATTATGAATTCTTAAATATATATCGTTCATATTATTAATATTGGCGGGTTATATGAAGGCCGATATGGTCTGTCGGCGCACGAACAAAATTCGGAATAACTTACGCATGTAACTATTACATTTGCTTTTATTTTTTTTTGGGGGGGGTACTATGTCAAACATTGAGCTCAAATTTAAATCAGTGAAACTAGAATCAAAATCTCAACATTTCAAATTTTCATATAAATAGCATTAGAATCGATCGATTAGTGTCATGATTTTCAAAGTGTTGTTAGAATTGAGTTTGATGAAAATGACGCCACCAAACGCGTAACAGGCGCGCGGAGATGTAATACATTGTTTTGGATATTGTTTAGATATATCGGAGACGGGAAGAAAGAGTACAGAAGTGACATTACATACTATAGCTTCTTATAGAGAAGTTGTTTTAAAATGGTATGAGTTTTAATGATAGTTTTTCCTCGATATCGAGAATAGTTACCGCATGGAAGAAGAAGAGTACTGTTTGTTAAACGCAGACGGTTGGGTACCTCGTGGACCATGATTGACATAAAGTATTCTATGTTGCCTACAGTGTAAGATGAACTTTCGACTAATTTTCGACTGAAATTTGAATATGCTAAAAAAAATTACGGACAGTAGTGAATTCAAATAAGTCCAGACAAAAGTGGATTTTCACTTTAAAAAAATATTGGATGTTAACAGACGCGTGTGAAGCAGAAGTGGACATCATGACGTTATAAGAGACGTAAATTACGCTTGCTTTCGTGCGCTGATATACAATTACATGCTTTCGTAATTTTTTTTTCATAAATTTTTTATTAAATGTTTTATCATCATGAAACTTGAAATCATAAAATGTTACATAAAATGTTACATTTTGCTATGGCAAAAAAAAAAAATTTAATTTACCAAAGAGAAACTTAACTGTTCGCTCTGTCTAAGACTTTTTGGGACAACCCTCGTATATAAACTTTAAAGTGGTATCACGGTGTGTGTTTTAATAAATCAATTTTAGTGACGTTTTGAAAAGCTAACTTTGAAATATACTTTTAATTTACTGTAATTACTTTAAACATCAGGAAACTTTAATTATTTAATTACTTTGTTACTCTAAATGTATAAATTTATTATTTGCATAGAGGAAAATAAAACAAACATGATTTAAAACACGTTTATTTTGATATTGGCGATTGTTGTTCGTGGCATATGTAAAAGCAGCAAGGGGTCGCCAAGCGTTAAGGGCGACCCCAAATTACAACAAGCAGCAGCAGTAGCAAACAACATGAAAGCATAATATTACATGTACTTATAATAAGCATAATAATGGCCCTTCCGGGTATACTGCGAACGGTATTTATCCATACACTTATTCGTGAAAAGAAAAAAAAGACACTTGTTGTGACCTTCAACTCGACTTTTAGAAATATATCGATGACGTATTGTTAATCAAAAATGGTTATTTCCTTTCTTATATATGACGACACGATAAATCCCGGTGAGATTGGAATAAAAGATACAACAAAATCTAATGCACTCTTTTATATTTGAATATTTAGTAGAACAAAAGTTCCACGGGCCTTATAGGTCACTGAGTATCATGTAACAATTTTCAAACAATTGAATTTGGTTCGTGTTTTAAACAAAAGCCATAAAATTCAAAATTTTGAAAGAGGCCCCATTATCCATATAACTATACACTTAGCATGCTTACTTTGCTTGCTTAATACCCAGAGGTAGATAAGCGTAATGATGAGAAAATGCATTTTCACATTATAACCACCAGTTGTGCACCACCCTACAGGAACCACTGACTTTTGGGCCACATTTTTCATAATTTTGGAAATTTTAATAAGTTTTAAATCTTATTTCATCTTAATTGTCGATTAAAAGCAAAGAGCAGATTTCAAAGCATTACTTTATTTTCAGACTATGTACCCACCTCCATCCCACCCCACCCCGCAGTACCCCTAACCCAAAGGCCCTGAAATGAACCATTTTGGAAGAGGCACATTTCTTCATCATAAATATCTACCTAGATCATTGGCATATTACTCAGGAGCAAAGAAAAAGAATGTCTAAAGAAGTAATGCATTTTCACAGTATAATCATTAGAGCCCCGCCCTAACACCTGAACCCCTGATCCAGGGGCCACGAAATTCACAAATTAAGAAGAAGCATCCTTCCTTATCATAACTATGTACATAGTTCATTGGTTTAACACCCAGGAGCAGAGGAGGAGATTTATAAAGAGTTGATGCATTTTCACTTTATAATCAATAGAGCCCTACCCAGAATAGCTAACCCTGGGGCAATGAAATTCACAATTTGAAAGAGACAGCCTTATTCAACATAATCATGTACTTGGTTAGTTTATTTAATAACCAGGAGTAGAGAAGAAGATTTTTAAAAGAATTAATGCATTTTCACTGTTTAATCAATAGAGCCCCCCCCCAACACCAGAACCCCTGATCCAGGGGCATAGAATTCATAATGTTGGAAGAGACATTCTTGCTCATTATAACTATGAACTTAGTTTGTTAAATACCTAGTAGCAGAGAAGAAGATTTTAAAAGAATTAATGTATTTTCACTACATAATCAATAGATTCTTCATCTGAGTGTTTACTTATGATGTGAAGTTTGTAAGTTACAAATTATTGTCAAAGAAGTCATCTCAATAATCTTATGCTTTGACCTTGACAAAGTGTCCTTAACAACAAAGTGCATTCCTACAACCATTCTATATGTAATTAGTATGTACAATATGGTATGATAAAGATATTCAAGATATTATTAAAACACAGATTATGGGACACTTGCATCTTTATTGGGGGTCTTATTGAGACCCAATTTAAATTCAAAATTAAACATGATACATACACAAACAAAATATATTTACAATTCCAGGAAAGTTAAATAATAACATTAAATCCAGCATCTGGATATCTGCGTTAATTTCTAGGTGGTTGTAAAAATTAGATGAAAAATAAAAGGTTTAAATGTGTAATTCCCATACATAACAACAGTCTTCAATATGAATTGGTAAAAATAAAAGTCACTTTCAGATACTTTGAGGTCATTGAGAATTAGTTTTTAAAGAGCTCATGCTATCAGAAAATCATATTTTCAATACTTGATTTGACTAGATCTCAGTCTGATAAATGATTACACTTTATCCATAGTCAGTGTCTGACAGTGAAAGGTACAATCCTGAGTCCTTTCTTTGTCATCCTGTAAACCACAGTCTATGACCGTATTGGTTAAATTGGTTGGAAATCATATTTATCTATGTTCTTCTTAAATCCTCCATCTTCTTAAGTTTGGTTTTCTTGTTTCAGTGTTCCAAGAGAGGATATTCTGTTAGTCTTTGCATAATCTGAAAGTCTTTCACCATTCTAAGAGTAGACATAGATCATTTCCATAAGCCCTCACAAGAGAATCCTGAAAAAATAAATAAAAAAAATGTCTTAGTTGAAAAAGAAAAATTGTAATGCAATATCAGCTTGATGGAATTCTAAATATAGACAAAAAGGGTATAAATACAAGTTGTAACATAAGATTTTGACTTTCCATATTAACCATGGGTAACACCTCCAGTAAAGAAGAGAGTAAAGGAATGAGTAAAATTCAGTTTGGAGAGAGAATTCTTTCAGAGAAAGATGTAGACAGAGGTATACCAGTTAAAATAAAAAAAGATGGCACTAGTGAGATCATTTCTCAACAAGAATATAACCAATTAAGTCCAGAGAAGGGTGATCCTAATGTTGTCAGAGATTACATAGAAAGACCCTTGATTGCAGAAGAAGCCAATGAGGAATATAACCATTTATTACCAAAAGAGGGTAAGAATTATTTGGATTACCCTGAAAGACCTTTGACTAGAGAAGAAGTCAAGTTTATAGATGATAAGAGAAAACAGTTGTCAGAAAAAAATGTTGTTAAAGACACATGATTTTTAGCCCACAAAACCATTTGAGATACAAGGATTACAAGATACAAGGATTAATGGAGGAAGTCCAAACTGAACTCTTGGAGGACATTAAGGCTTATTATGAGAGTAACTTTTCCAGTATTTGTTTATTACAAAATTATGTATTCTAATTAAAAAAAAAAGTTTTAACTTTCATTTGTTGTTCCTAAGACCATTTAAGTTGACCTTATGATCAAGATTGTGATATATACATTCTGATATTATCATCTACGATGTCTCTATGATGTCTACCTCAAAAGATTGAATCAGGGTATTTGTGTTCAAAGACCTGAAGAAACTATACAGACAGATCTAAGATTTTGGAAGCATGCATATTAATGAGCTTAAAGGAGATATAACACTAGATTATTATAAAAGAAAGAACACAAACTCATAGAAATTATATTGAAAGTACCTTTTATGAATAAAGTGTCATGCTCCAAAGTATTATTTTTATAAACAGGAGAAGGTTTACAGCAGTCCCATACACTCAGAAAAAGATCTTGGTTAGTAGAAACACCAGGGAATGTTATTTCCACACAATCAGATCATCTTACATCAGTTAGTTACAATCTTTATACATAGTCAAGAGGTCATTAAGATTTCTTTTATAGTCATCCTAATGAGCCACATTATAGTATTCTTTCCCTTTGATATAATGTTAATATTAAATGGAAAATTCAGAATTCATCAGCAATTGAAGTCAAAACTTCTTATCTTTACCAACTATGCTATTAAGGAAGCTGGGGGTTTACAAATTAGCCATATTTAACTTATTCTATAGATATGCTATCTTTAGCTGTTAACTATCATTTGGCAAAGAAAAACTTCATACATTTTAGTTTTAAAATTTGATCATGATTTTTATGCCTTTTCTTGTGAAGGATATCAATATGGTTTAAACATGACCATGACCACCAAGCCCTCTTTATTTAAAAAATCATATATCATTTACTTATCAATTCCAAAATATAAACATGCATATGTAACAAAAAAAATAAATAAATAAATAAAAGTTACAATTGTATCTCATTGAAACTTTACCTTCAAGTTTGTGTGTTTCTATGTTGAGGAAGACCAGCAGCCAGGCTTCACTTCATAGAGAATGGATTATAGATGGTTAGGAACAAAACATATCTTCCAGGTTGAGGACTGCAGAAAATAAAATCCATTTTGTTATTATGATTTAAATTACATGAGACAATGCCTCTTATAAATGTAATGCAAAATAATATCTCTTATATATATGGATTCCTATACTCTAATCAATCATATTAAATGTCATTTTAAAATGTATTTTTTAAGACAGATTTATTTAGGATAGACTTTAAATGATGACATGAATAGCAGGCCATACTTTAAGCACATGACAAAACATTATCTCAAATTACACAGAAATGGGCTATTTAGCATAGCTGACATTAAACATATAGGTGAGTGATAACATAATCACAATCATAAACAATGTGAAACAACTTTAAAAGACCTACACGGTGGATTACAAGCCTTTTTCACTGGGGGTAAAATCTTGCCGAGATTCGCCATGGCCGCCGAACCAGAACCCGACTGTATAAAGATGAAGTCATACATTCCATGTTGATGACTGTAGAAATAAAACCATTTTGTTAATATGACAGAGTACTGTGTGAAACAATACATGTTTAAAACCTGAACAAACATGTACAATGCCAAAAAAAGATCATGAATATATTTGTTTTTAATCTCAAAAAAAAAAATTTTTTTTTTAATAACATTAACTCCAGATGAGAAAAGTTCATCATGTTATCTATAGATAATAAACAAGCACAACTACTGTATTGATATCACAAATAAAATGATTATCAGATTAAATATTTAGACACTAAAAGACTTTTTATTAACAGCAGATTCAATTCTGGTTTAATAGCTATCAGTAATGCATACAGAAAAATACATATTTTTTTTTTTAGCATCATCACAGTACAACATGTAGTCCTTCATTTTTTGAAAAGCTCATTACTAAGAAACAAAAGTGAAAATGAAAATATATGTATACCATATATCACACATATTTAGAATCAAAACAAAAAGTAAATGACTTAGAATTAATCTTTTGTAAATTTCTCCTTTTCTCTTATTAGATTCCTAATTAATATCTCTTTGATCACCATTTAGTAAGTCTGAATTCCATGGGTAACATACATAATGAATTATGAAATTATATCATAATCTATACAAAGGGACTTATTAATATTCTGAAGATCCCTTAATCATGTGTTAATATATTTTAGGTTAAATAAGGGTGTGTTTATATGAATGTAAGTTAGAGGCAACAGATCACATAAGTATTACACAGTAATTAAATTAACCATATAATCATGCTTAAATGCAAAGATGACCTTCATAGGGAATGTAAACAATTAAAAAAAAAGACAAACTTACCAGAGATATCCAACTATATGCCCAATAAGCCTATCCATTAAATAATCCAGTGAAATAACATCTCAGCTGATCCTGAAAAAATCATAAAACTCAGTGATACACATTTAACCTCATTTTACAATGTAAGTAAAGCAATAATTTACAGACAAAAGGGACAGAAATGTAAAAGATACCATGTATTTTACCAAAATTAAGTGAATATTTTTCTGATTGAAATTCAATCATAGAATGACCCATCATACAAATATTAAATGTACTCTGAGTTACATGCAGGTTTTACAACTGTAAATCACATGAAATGATGATAAATACATCATTTACATTCAAAATAAAACTTTACATATAAATTATGAATAAATGCAAAGATGACCTTAATAGGAAATGTAAACAATTAAAAAAACAAGACAAACTTACCAGAGATATCCAACTATATGCCCAATAAGCCTATCCATTAAATAATCCAGTGAAATAACATCTCAACTGATCCTGAAAAAATCATACAATTCAGTGATACACATTTAACCTCATTTTACAATGTAAGTAAAGCAATAATTTACAGACAAAAGGATAGGAAATGTAAAAAAGATACCATGTATTTTACAAAAATTAAGTGAATATTTTTCTGATTGAAATTCAATCATAGAATGACCCATCATACAAATATTAAATGTACTCTGAGTTACATGCAGGTTTTACAACTGTAAATCACATGTAATGATGATAAATACAGCATTTACATTCAAAATAGAACTTTACATATAAATTATGATTAAATGCAAAGATGACCTTAATAGGAAATGTAAACAAAAATAAGACAAACTTACCTGTGGAATATGTCTGTCAGAAAGGAGATTTTAAAAATGAACACGCTCTCTACATTCACATGACAAGAATACATCAGGATGCTTATTTCCGTGGTCATAGAGAAATTGAGCTTTATACAAGAAAAGCTTTACAGCAGGAAAATCATCATAGTAAAAGAGAGGAAAAACAAAAGATAGTCCTACATTTTCTGAAAATCTAAGTTCACTTCTTAGAAACAAAAGTGAAAATGAAACTTTAATTTTACAAGTGTATGATGTAATAATGCATAGGTAGCTCGCTGACTAGACTGTGTACAAAATCGTACATAGTACGATCAAAAGGTAATTAAGTCCAACCTATTTTTGCACACGACCCTAATTTTTTGCACACGGTCCTTACAGGTGATGCAACAGGTATAAAAACGCAGGTAAAACGTATTGATGCACAGGGCCCTTACAGTAAAGGTATATAAACCATGTGTGTTTTTGTAATTGTTTTCAGTAAAAAATCCAGGTTTTTATTGTTTTGAGGAAATCAGTTTGAACCGATTAGGCTAGGCTGGGTAGACTGTGAAGCGTGACGTTATAATTAAATTCTTGAGTCGCTGACAAAATCGTAGTAGCAGCGTAGTGTATAATGTAAACACAGTGTAAACAGACCCCCGTATTTAGGGGGATTATATGTACTGAATTGACCCGGCTATCCCCCACAGACCCCCTTATCTGCACTCTCTTGACCCACCTATCCCCCCCAGGGGCTGCACTCAGTTGACCCGGCTATCCCCCTCAGGGGCTGCACTCGCTTGACCCGGCTATCCCCCAGACCCCCAATCTGCACTCCCTTGACCCAGCTATCCCCCCAGACCCCCCAATCTGCACTCCCTTGACCCGCCTATCCCCCCAGCCAATCAGAATCCAGCATTTTTGACCTCATTTGCATAAAAAGTGCACTCAGTTGACCCGGCCATCTAGGCGCTTTATACTACTAACGCCTTTTAGAAAGGCGTTATAACGCCTATTTCGCGTTATTACGCCTTTTCAAAAGGCGTTATAACGCCTTTTAAATTTTTTTTCTCTTTAGAGTGATCCTAATAGGCTTTCGTAGAGATATACTTGTTTTTTACGCGAAATTTCTTTAAAGAGACACCGTGACGCACAAAGGGGAAATTTGACAAAGTAAACGTAGACTTTTGGCATGACCCTAGTAAACTTTGTTCAATTCCTAAAAGTACTTAGGTTTATTTTTATGGAGAAATAATGTCAGTATGCCCCATAACGAAAATATTTCTTTACTTCTTCCTCCCTCTTGTACGCGTGCGTAGAAAAAGTTGAATAAGTACCATAGTTACCAAGGTCTCAAGTACCCAGGAATGAATGAAGGCTAGGAATAGACCAAAACTTTTGAAGCAATCAATTTTAAAAGTTGTTAGAACATATTTCTCACCTTTGCATGCTCCAGTTTATTGTTGTTTACAAGTTTCAGCTAAAAATAAAAGTGGCGTGACCTTGACATACGCGAAAACAATGAAACGGTAGATACAACCTCTGTTTTCTGGCACTTATATTGCGCGGTCTTTTCTTGCTTTACGGTGCAGTTTAATTGCCATATTTTAACTATATACTCATAATATTAAAAAGTATATCTCTGTATGCTACATATATCATAAAGAAACACATGATTTTGACTCATTGTGTTACTTTAAGCACAGGGACTTGCTCCTGGCGTGTGAAAAATATTTATGAAAAAAAAACAAAAAAAAAACGATACACTATATTGTTTTTTTTTATAAATATTTTTTACACGCCAGGAGCAAGTCCCTGTGCTTTAAGCGCCCTAAGAACGACCTCACAAATACGACAGACCCTTAATGTAATTAGTGACTGATCAACCGGACAGCTTCTTAAAATTTTTGTACTAAACATTTTTTTTTTATATTTTAAGTTAAATGTAACCTACCAAATTTATGCAGCATAAGCCATCTGCATTTCCATCTGCCAAAAGTATCCTCAATCACCTTCCTTGTTTTTTGATGCTGCCGGTTATAAGCCTCCTCTGCCGGGTTACGGGGATCTCGTAAAGGAGTAAGCAAATATGGTCTCAGAGGATAGGCCTGATCTCCAAGTAAAAATCCAACCTGCGTGTTTCGAGTAAGGAACGTTTGTACACCACACTGACTCCATATGAAGGCATCGTGCGCCGAGCCAGGGAATTTAACGAGCAAATTTGTAAATTTTTTCTGACTGTCGCAAATCCCTTGTACGTTTAGCGCATGGAAACCCTTGCGACATACATACACGTCCTCGCGTGATGGTGGAGCCTTAATTGGAATAAATGACCCGTCCACACATCCGATTACATTTGGAAATCCAAATTTCTCCATAAAACCTTCTTTAACAGTTTGAAGTTTTCGGCAATCCGTCGGGAATTGAATAATTTGTCCAGCAAAACTTGCCAGTGCATTAGAAACATTCTTTACTGCTCTGGAAACGCTGGGTTGACTGAGTCCTAAAATGTCCCCAATCACTTGCTGGAAAGAACCAGTCGCATAATACCTCAAAGCAGCAAAAGTTTGTTCTTCAGGTGTAAGGGCATGAGATCTTTTTGTCTCATGTGACACATCCTTTCTTATCATGTCAATGACATCCATCAAACAGTGTCTTGTCATTCGATACGCAGCACAGTTAAGGTTACCAATGGAAATATTAGCGATTTTTAAAGATAAAAAATACATACTTTATTAGGATGGGCGATTTTTTTAGGACTTCATTGATATTAAAAAAATGTAATGTGGTTTAAATCTACATGTCGGGGACATTTAGATTTTTTATTTAGAATTGTCATGTGATGTCGACGTCACATGACTTTGGCAATTATACTTGCAGTTTAGAGGTCATCTATAAATTTTTTTATTGCAAGGGCATACCCAAGTTAAAAATCTTAGTTTATTTTATAATCCTTTTCAACACTATATGTAGTTTGTGAAAAGTGCTGCGAACCTATATAGATTCCCTTTTTTAATTGGTAAAATTTAATTTGTTGGACATCAGGTTGAATATTTTGCTGGTCAACTACATTAAATATAGCTATAATTAATTTATTTGCAAGATTTCAAGAGGTTCGCAGCACTTTTCAAATATCTTAATGCTTCTTGAGTTTATGTGTAAAATTTTTACAAGATACATTGAGGGTATGCCCTTGCAATAAATCGATTTATTAGGGCCCTTCCATTATATTTCAATGAATCTGCATACAAACACACGACAGTATCGCTTGTCTAGAGAATGCACGTACAGTTTATAAAGAAAATACTATAATAGACATCGCATCCAAGTTAACGGCTTTTTATTTAACTGCAAATAATATTTTATTTGAGAACAAAAGACATTTTTCATTGTACAAAATGTGACTTGATCAGCCTCTCACTGTGTACAAACTGCGTCATTTTTGCGAGATGACGTCACATTGACAAGTGCATTGCGATCGATGCATCGTTTAAATACTGTTGTGTGGGATTTAACAAACGACAATACTGCATGTAACAGTAAGTTTGGATGTAGTATACAGCTGTTTGAAATAGCAAATAATTTCATTTTGTGGTATTTTGAAGACCTTATATTATGTGTGACGTCATAGTAAACATTTCCCGTACAAATTAGGCCCCGCCTCCTTACTGTAACCTTAACTGTGCTGCGTAGCGGGAAAGAATTTCCGCGTCGTCATACGCATCCAATGGATTTAGCCTATCTCTAAAGATTCTATTCTTCCGAATTTTGTTTTCCTCTAGAATTGCTTGTAATAACGCCATAATAGAAAGAACAATATGACGTACGTTGTACATGTTTAATGACGTCATAATAACCTTTGAGGAACAATAGTTTTCACAACCGAGTGATTATAATTAGTTACTGAGTATCTATAACCTTTCCATTTCTTTTTATTTTTTTTTTTAAACTGAGAAACATTACAAATGCATGTACAGTTGAGTTTTTGTACGTGTATCTGAAATATCTAGAATACCATGGATATATTGAAGCGGTTATATCGAAGTATTTCTCTGTTCCACAGAGTTCGAGATAATGAAATTTGACTGTATTTTTATTCTGTTGCTTCATATAATTGCTAATAGCAATTCATTTCTTATCAACCATCATAGGAATAGTCAGTGGATTTATTTTCATCGTTGGACTCATGAATGCAATTGACTAGATTTATTGCTCGAAGAAATTAATGACATATGTTGCTCACACGAAATGAGTGAATGATATTATAATTAAACCGAAGACAGCAATTCTTTAGAAAAAAAATATTAGATGCAATAAATTCATGTAACTTGTTGCTATTAAACAATGTTCGGTGCATTGGTGCAATTTTTGATACATGTACCATTTTTTTCATTAGAATAAAGAAAGCAGCATATTCATTTTTACGCATGTCAATTCAACAAATTCATTAATTAGTGAAATCAAGTTTTAAAATAAAGCGTGTCAACATTTTGTATGGAAAATATAAATTTTTTGAAAAGAGTAGATATCTTTGAACAGATTTTTTTTATACATTGCATACTTAATTACACTGTCATGTACTTGAGTTAATGATCTTTTTGACCCTCCATACAACCCGTTCTAAAACGGGATTGGTTGATAATGTTTATGTCGTCAATTTCCATTTGTATTCATAATGAATAGATATTACATACATGATGTAAATTGAGTGTGGCTATCCCAGCAAGACAAAGGGAACATTCCCCAGCAAAACAACGCACTTTGATTCTGTCAATTTCGTTTTTATCCCACGGAAAAAGTTAAAGTTTACATTTATTTAGACATGTCAACGTATTTCCGATACATACAAAAAACAATGAAGGAAATATTTAGTCAAAACAACAAGTAAAGTGTAAGTAAAACCACTCTAAATGCCAGTCGACAACAAGGTGCCCGTTTACCGGATACTCTAACGTATCCGTTAATTTTCTCCGGTAGCGGAAGAGTTAACGCAAACGTTAACGGATGCGTTGAATAACGGGTGCTTCGAGAATACCAAATAATTTTACGGAAACATTAGCGGTGACGTTAACGGACCCGTTATCTAACGGATGCTTTGTGAATAAGGTCCCAGGTGTTAATTTAATACAAGGAGTTATTGAACTTATCTTGATAAATATTGGCACTCGTTGGCAATACAGTTCGGCATTTAAACAACCAACTTGTGCCAATATTCACCAATATGAGTTCAATAACCCTATATTATTATACCTCATATAAATAATCACAATTAAAAAGGAATCTGATTGGTCGAGGCAGTCACCTGACCGTCGTGTTCGCCCTGCAACAAAACGTCGTGTTTCACGATTGTGACGTCACAATACAACGACTGATATAATTACAACTAACTTAAAGTCTAGTGGTATAACTTAGAG